CTCCATAGGAACACGCACTTGGTGAAACATAGATTGTACTTCTCCCATTACAGCCAATTGGTCTTGTCGGAAACGAAGCAGTATTCCAACCAGGTTGTCGGTCAAATCAGGACCCTGCAGCAATTCGCTATTCAAAGACATCCCTTGGAACTGAGCGGAACAATCAAAGACGACCCTTATCTTCTCAGGTTTCTTGCTGTGGTACACACCATGGTGTGGAATATACCAGACCTTTCCGTCAGCTCTACACTGACCTTCAGAGGGAACCTTTTCAGCGAAACCTTCTTGGATTACGCTTTCAAGAGATGCAACGTAGTCTTCCTGAAATCTGGCATCCTTAAGGAATTTACGTCTCAGGGAGAGGGCTCTGCGCTCGGCTTGGCATCTATTAGCAGGCAACGTCAAACTTAGATTACGAAAGGGCAAACGAACTTGGTAATGGCCATCCTCACACTGCATAACAGAGTTTTCCAAAATGTTCATGAACTTCAGATCTTCACGAGACATTCCTTGGCCGTCATTTAAACACGCATCCGTAAAGTCAGCACACGCCACGCACATAGGATGGACGTCAATAAACTTGGTGAGGTAACAAGCAGAAGGGACATATCTTGGCTTTCTTCCTGTTGGGCCATTGATTACCCAACCGAACTCCACCTTACTAGCGTAGGGGCCTTCCTCCGACAGCTGGGATAACTTCTTTCGGTTGTAAAGCTTCTGGGACATCTGACCCAATTAATAGATCAACTTGAGAGTTCAACTCAGTTGGGTAGACGAAGCTTCTAAGGTGTGGCCATCTATCTACATCTTCCTGTTTGCGGACTTCATCCTTATACACAGGCATAGTCGGTCTGGAATAAACCTCTCTTAATAGGACAACAACATTTTCATCCAAGTCCGACACCACTAAACCGCTGGCCACGACGCTATCAACCTCCTCTGCTGAACCCATTGTAGTTAACTTCAACTTCAAATGCTTGCCTTTAACGCCAAGACGATCCAAAAGCATGTTAGAGCAGAAAGTGGAATTAGAACCCGTATCCAGGAGGGCGTAAGTCTCGATGCAAAAGGGACTTCCTTGTGCTCTGACCTTTACTGGTACGATTGGCAAAGCAGTCGCAGGACCCACTCTGGTCGTCAAATTGCAGACTCGCTCTACGCCACTTGACTCGTTACTTAATAAACTCTTCTGATTAACACCTTGCTGGGATCTGTTCTGATCTTCCTTCTCTCTGGCTCTAGCAGGTTGTTGACTCGCATTCTCAGATGTCGGCTGCTCGTGCTTATCTTCTGAAGAATCAGAGTGCATAGGCGAAGCATGTCTTCCGTTACAGTGTGAACACGGCTTCTTCTTGTAGCATCCCCTTGATTGATGACCCCCTCTCAAACGCGAGAAACAGAGTCTTTGCTTCATCACAAAGTCGTAACGCTCACGGACGGGAATTTTAGCAAACGCTGGACAGTCTACGAGATTATGGATCTGACGGCAAAACAAACAACTCCTTTTCGAGAGATCTTCAGACTTCTTCTCCTGAGACTTGTTTTGATCCATGGGACTCTTCTGAAATGAAGTGGAGAAGTTACTAAGCTCTCTAGGACCAGGCCCAGAACCCTCGGGTTTTGATTTCGTCCATCGTGTCTGGCTCTTCCTCTTATCCTTAGCCAAGAAGGGAAGTTTTCCGAAGATTGGATTACTTAGGGCACGTGACTTCTCCTCAACGAATGACGCAATGTCTTCGATACAAACTTCTCTCTTGTCCGCATTGAGGATACGATCAGCATTGTCCCGCCAGCTACTCTGCAGTTTAGGTGGCAGTCTCTCGATAATCTTTCTCATGTTGTCCGGACCTTCAATCTTGTTTAAGTATCCGATAGCCTTCAGTGTATTTGTGCAACTTGACAGAGGAATTGAGAAACCCTCCAGTGACTCGGCGTCCTCAACTTTGATGTAGGGACTATTAGTTAGCTGGTCGACATAAGCCATCGCGATATTGTGCTTTTGGCCAAATCTAGCCTCCAACAGCTTCTTCGCCTTAGAGTAGCCTTCTCCTGGGTTTAGGTACATACAACTCCGCACGATCTCCCGCGCTCTTCCAGTCGTATGCTGCTCAAGATAGTACAGTCTCCCACCGCTATCACTCTCGTTACTCTCGATTACAGTCTCAAAGGCACGCATAAAGGTGCAGTAGCTGAGTGGATTGCCTTCAAAGATAGGCACCTGCCTTCGGGGTAGCGTGTTTTTCTGCTGCTGATTCACAAACTCCTCCATGACACGATTCTGCTTTTCGAGGATGTGAAAGGCTTGGTCACTGAGGCTAGACTGCTCACCAGAGTCTTAACTGGACTGACGTGAAACCTTGTGTTTAGTCTTGTGTTCTTTAGGTCTGAAATTGGCACCATGGAAGACCGGAGATGAATCCTGCTTTAAATCTCCAGAAAAACCAACAGAAATGGCCGCCGCGCGCGGATCCACGCGAGGAACGCGAGAGGTGAGCGAGGAAGACGCGATACGCGTGTTCCTTTCTGAATCAGCTTTCGCATACACGCTTTCCCTGGCCACTGCTTTCTTAAATTCCGTTTCAAGTTTTAATTGATCCCTTTTAAACTTGAGATCAAGTTCTTCCTTTTTGAGCCGTAATTCAGATTCGTTAATGAGCTGACGCTGCTTTAGGGCGTGTACTTCGGCTTGAAGCTCTGCAATTCTCGCAGCTTCTTTTGCCCTTGCAACAGAAATGGAACTAGCTCGAGAAGATCGGCTGTACGCCGAACCACATCTGGATCGTTTCCTGTTCCTTAACAGGAACGATGTCTCTGAGACACTGTCATCAGGAGTAACATCAAGGTCTTGAATCCGGATCTCCGTTACATGCAACCAGTCGTTAACCGTGTGACAGAAGAAATTCAAACTCGACTCAATGTCAGTGAAGTAAACTACTGATTCCTGTCTTTGGCTCTCATCGATTAGGGCAGCATTATACTCCTCGTGTGCATCTGTAAATCTTTGAAAAAGGGAAGTAATCTCTGTCAGTTTCACCTTGAATGCTTCAAGATTGTTCTCATCCGTTAATAAGCTGTCAATTTCTTTACGCTTGGCCGTCAAGGCAGAGAGCACTCCGCCTCTTCTCTTTCTAAGTTCTCGGATTCTTTCCATTGTAACTGCTTCTTGATCCAGTGAAGAATTAGGCTTCCGCGAACGGGTACTTGAACGACGAACACTTTGACCATTTTTCCCGGCAGAACACGCCAAATTGGCTTCCTGAACCACAGGAGACATCGTCCAAAGTCCAACAACTCTCGTCTTTACGAATATAGTCGCAGGCTTTACGCGCTATAGTTTTTAACACACAAACGTTATTCTAGAACTTCTAAAACTGGTGCAGGGAAACAAGTAAACCGATGTGAAGTATAGCGAAGTATAGCGAAGTGTAGCGGTACTGAAAAATAACAATTAAACAAATGCAAAGTCAAGATAAAACAACCTACAAACTGAACGAAAGCAATAAGGCAATCTAGAAATGCGAATGAAACAAACGAGATACTTACAAGACGATAGCGAGATAAGGACGAAAAAATAGGACGACTAAAAATCCAAACATGAAACTGTAAACCGGACCAAGCGCAGCTAAACGAAGAACTGACGCGAAAAATTACAATAAAAGCTAAATATACGATATGCAGAAAAATCCTAACACGAAGGACAAAGCTACGCGGACAATGAAAAACTAATGAACCAAACAACAGCACTAAAGGCGCGAACAGGAAAATAACTAAGAACGCGGCGAACATAAAAATACTATAAAGGTAACGGAAAACATTCCTGGCGCTTACAGTTTTGCTGTGAACTACTTCTTGGAGTTATTTTTGGAATGGAAATGCACGTTACTTAATTAATGTTAGTTAATTAATTATTACACAGTCAAACCTCTTTAATCCTGACACTAAAGGGACAGAACCAAGTGTCCGCTTTACAGAGGTGTCCGTATTATAGAGGTAGGGAATGTATGATTTTTGGCATTTCTGGGACCAAACAAACTATCTGTCTTATAGAAGTGTCCATAAGTAGAGGTTAGACTTTATAATTGTTATGTTAATTTAATCATTTCAACGAAAAAAGTTTGAATTTTGTCACTTCTAAAAGGATTATTTAATAGGCCATTTCCGAGTTCCCCCGAGCCTCTGTTTCAAAACGAGGGTAGGTGCTCAGCTCTTGATATTTAAATCATTTTTCATCCTCATGCAAATAAAACTCATTTTCACAAGAAAGGTTGCGCACCTAGCCTCATTTTGAAAGTGAGGGTTTTTGGAACTCGGAAGTGGCCTATTGAAATGGAAAAGTTACAGTTTTGGATATAGAAAATAGAAATACATTGTAAGGAGTCTCTTTTTTATTGTGAAAATATTTAATATACATATGTACATATTATATGAAAATGCACAGAGAATTATCTTAATAAAAACTTCAATACCAAAAATGCACCTGAATATGACTCTTCTTGATTTGTGTGTATCAGCGAAAATGGGTCATTGTGGATGCAAGAAACGGTCCAGGGTTGTCTCACAAACGTCCACTTTTTTATATACCGGCTAGAATGAACATATGATTCGAAACTGGATGGTTAAGTAAAGTTAACACATTTAGGAAATCCAGTGAATAATCCACCGAAAGTGGAATCTGGGGAAACATGAAGGCTGCAGAAAGTAAACCTATCAAACTGAGTTTCCGAATTCATTGTTCCGGGAACTCAACGGATAATTGAGTATCCTCTAAATTTACGAGCTGCGGAAACATGACGGCACTTAGCGTTTCCGCAAGAGTAAACCTGACGGAAACGCGAGTATAAGGGATGCGTTTAAGCGTGTCCGCAGAAACTGAAACATGACGTATACACGTGTTTCCCGCAACGGTTAGTTACAATTCCGTCTGCGGATATTCAGGTTTCCGTGACGTAACCGTTACAAAAACGGAAACGGAAACACCTTTTTTCAACCTGTGTGATCAGGATCCGAACCGTTCCGACTCCCCTGACGGATACCACATCAAAAGAGGGGCCTTGCCTGTTGGAGATCCATGTCTGAAACAAGTTACCTCAAGAAGTGGTAAGCCCGTTTACGCCCAGCTGTATTACGTCAGAAAGGAAGTAGAGATGATAGGAGAAGTACTAAAGGTCAAGCCACTAACCGGAAAAGAAGCTACCAAACGCGCGGTGCTCGAACAAATCACTTCAGTTGCATTAATTCACATTGCAGCTCACAGGAGGAAGGAAACCGGGGAAATTGCTTTGGCCCCAAATCCTGGGTATAAGACCGAGGTTCCTAAAGAGCCGCATTATATTCTAACAATGTCCGATGTGCAGGCTGTTAAGTTGCGAGCACGACTTGTTGTACTCAGCTGTTGTCATAGTGGTAGAGGTACAGTCATGTCTGAGGGCGTGGTTGGTATGGCACGGGCTTTCTTGAGTGCTGGTGCTCGCTGTGTTTTTGCGTCACTCTGGGCCATTGATGACGAGGCCACAATGGAGTTCATGAAAAGTTTCTACAAGCATTTGAGATATGGAGAAAGCGCCAGTGTTGCTCTTCACCAGGCCATGAAATTTCTTCGAGAATTAGACAAGTTTTGTGCCCCGAAGTACTGGGCCCCATTTGTACTCATTGGCGATAACGTTACTATTGAATTTGGAGAAAATAAATAAAGGAGATGCAAAGGTATTAACTGATCATATGTAGAAACCAATTAGTATTTCAGTCTAAAGACTGAAGTCGTTAAAAGACAGTGTAGACAATGCCGTGTAACTTGTATTAAGCAGACACTCACAGGACTCTCGCTGGTGTCCATAATAAAGAAGACCTCTACGTACAAGTTTGCTAAATAGAAAACATGGGAAGAAAAGTTGAGGCAACCTGACCCATTCGCCCGCTTAATACGTGTAGATTCACAATCGAAAATCTAAGAGGTCGCTGGAAGTGTTATCGCTTTGCCATTTCCTATATTAACCCAGTTTCAGAAATAAGTTGAGTGTTTTTCCTTGCGAGACTAAGTTTTATAATTTTCCTGATCTGAATATAATCACTTGACAAGGTAAAAAAAATTGTGACTTACTTGGTATAACGAAAATATCCACGACATGGGTGAGGGGTGAAATTACAGTCAATTATCAATGGTTGAATGTAATTGAAATGATTGGAAGTAATAGTTGAAGTACATAGCTGTAACGTACTGTCTGGCCAGGTTATGGATGAAAGAACAGAAAAATGTCCCCTTTACCGTAGATAAAGCGGCTCGGAAGTCAGATACAACACGCCACTGGCTGACGGTATCACTCAATTACTGACCTCATTTACTGTGACCACATATTAACAGAGTCAGGCGTAGTCCTCAGCTTCCGGGCAGAGTGACCCCTATTCTTTACGATCAGCAGTGTCGGTTCCTTCACGTCAGTTTCGAATCAACAACTGAAAAGACAACGCCAACAACTTGACGACACTTCTCAATGATTTCTATCATTTCGTCTTTTATCACCCTGACAGGATCGACAAACTATTTGCGGTTAGCGGAGAGAAATGGCTTTGTTTTCTTTGACGTGTTGAAAAAAAGGTAAAATGGTTCAAATTTTTTAACAGCTCTGAAAGGCACCCCCACGACCACGGTACAAAGGTTTGGCGCATTTGATGCCAAATAACCCACCTATGCTGAAGGACAGCCACGTTAGTTTGTTTCTTTTTGTATAAATATTGTCACTTTATTTTCACTCTTTATCCATTATCACTGACTATTTTTTCATTATCATCAATTTCTCCGTGGACTTCACGTCACGAGAGACGCCATCTTCGATAATAAAGGCTGCTCCTCGCATTGTAGGCTAAGAAAGCTTACAACTGTATCTCTCATTATCGCATTTTTGTTTCATAAACATGAATTTCCAAAATAAAACGACCGTTTTTGCTGCGCTTTTCACAAACACGCCAACTCTAAAAGTTCAAAAGCCGCCTTCACAAATGCGTTTTTTGCTTCCGTCAATCATAACTACGATCAAAAGCAACGAACCTTGAAACTCACAAACACACAAAACCGACTGAAATTCACCAACCACAGATCACAAACAATGACCTTTTGAACCTGCTTAAGTAAAGTTCTGTGTCCTAAGAGGTCCGTTAAGATTATTGACGGCAGCGAAAAACGCAAACTTCAGTTGGCTTTTGAACTTCAGAGCTCGCGTGTTTTTAAAAAGCACAGTAAATTATCACACACATTGTTCGTCGCATTCTCCGTCGTTTCACAGGATAGAAGGCTTTCATTATTTTAATGACACTGGACAAAATCCTTATTCTGGTGCAGTCCAGTTAAATAACTTCAAGGCCACTTCATAACCAAAGAAAACACCCTAAAAATAGAAATCACCAGGATTACCAAGAAGCAGAGAATAGTTTTACTTTAAAACACGAGGAAAGATGCATTTTTTAAACAATCCCTTGTTTAGTCTTGTCTTAGTGAATCGCTGGCGAGTTTTAAATCACCGTTGGTCCACAGAAATCCCATTTAGGATCAGTCTTACAAGTCAAATGCTAATGTTTAATATAGAGGTTTTGGCTCAGTGGTTAGAGAATCTGATCTAGGACTCGAAGGTTCATGAATTCTATTCTCAACTGAGGGGTGGAAATTTTTTCTGATTTTTCTAGTGATTGATTTCACATCACAGCGAAAGCTCAAATTCGATTCGGAAATCTTGAAATGTGTTGCAAAATACTGCTAAAATCTAGTCAGTTTTGCTCATCAGAGCGGCTCTGAAGTCCGAAGAACACTTGCACACCGCCTTGAATATTGCAGTTGTTGAAAAAACCGCTCGGGAAGCTTGCTGATGCGGACGACATTGACACACTGGAAGCAATGCGATTCAAGTTTTCAATTAATGGTGTAGCTCATGGAGTGCTGGAAACGGTAGAAATTTGTGTACTTTTGAGTTTGGTTGTACTGAAGAGTATTGGAGATTGTGTCGGATACACTTTCCAGCTGAGGTGCCGATGGCCTGGCGCTGTAGTGTGAGATGCTTTCCTCGCTGCTATGCCCGGAGACGAACATTATATGGCGGTCGTGTACATTCGCATCTGAAAGCACGGTTATTGCTGAAGCCCGCACGGAATGATTGGTGTAAACATGAGAGAGATTCGCTCCTTTGGATATGATCTTCATCATATCTCCCAGCTTGTTCACGATGTCTTCTGTGGTGAATCTGGCTTTTGGTTTTTGAAAGAACGCTGGGCAGGAGGGATTCAACTTGGACACGTACAATTTGAGACAGGCAAACGCATCATCCAGTGCTGTAAAGCCTTGTTTCTCGTTCAGCTGAGGACTTGCTGGTTTCACCACCAGGATGGTTTTTTGTAGCTTCTTCGCGGGGTATAACTGCGTGCTCGCGGCCGTTTCCATCTTTGGTGAACTTGAAACTGTCGCGGCGAAGATCTCGCTGTCCCTCCCTTCCACTCCTGCACCAGTACAGAGAAACGTAAAACCAAGTTCTCCTTAGCAATCCGGCTGGATTTGTGACACTGAGGAAAGGGCTGGCCCTTATCTTTGCGAGGTCTGAAGGTACGATAACTGGTTTATGTTGAACGTTTTCCTTGCCGGCGCGGCGGTTGATTCGTAGCTTCGCGTCCAGAATTTTGTTACTCTTTTGAAACACTTGGTGGTGAAACAGTGTCGAATGCTTGATATTACTTTTCAAACAAAATGATTTTAGAAAGAGAAATTAAGGATGCAAAAATGAGCAGTTTTTCATCTGATTTCCAAACACTCATTTAACATTTTTTTTCCTTTGTATTTTCTTAATGTATTATTAATGAGTTTGAGAAGTGTGAATCAAAGGATGTTGCACGTGCGGAGCTGTTGTTTTGCTCTTAAAACCAATTTTTTTCTTTTTTCACGTTGTCGTCGTTGTGGTTTCAGACAAACAAACAAACAAGCAACAAATTGACCACAATTTTCTATATTGACTACACTACCATAGTTTATAAGAGTGACGTCAAAATGTACTAAATGTTCTCAAGTGATCAACAAATCAGCCACGGCCTGTACACAGCGAACTTACTAGTGCTATAAATGCATCTCTTACGCCTCTAGGATACTTTCCTTCGGGAGCTAAAAAAGAATGGTCGAGGAAGAAAATCAACTACGGAGGAAGAATAAATATAAGTCTATAACATTCTCTGCAAACAGGGAGTCTCTAAAGAGTTTGTGCAAGGGACAATTGTTTCACTTTAAGATAAAAGACTAGACTTGCAAAGGCAGAAAAACTGTTAAGTTTAACAAAGGGCAAAGAACAACGAAAGAAGATAAGTCTTGAGGAAAGAGCATAACGAGGCTGGTTACAAAAAAGGAATTCTAAAACGTTTCACTGAACATACCTACAATTGTAGCCAGGGTCCGTTCGTAATTACGACCCCGTTATAACCAGGACGAAATTTTAACGATATGTCGTAAGGTCTTCCATTACTTATTCAATATCCACAATTCAATTTGAAGATAAACGCACGATATGCCGTAATGTTGTTGAAACTTCTTTCCGTCAACGGAAGAGCAAAGAAAAAGCTTCCCTAGAAAATTACAGAGCCCGGTTGACTCACTGAGTCCTGCCTGTCCTCCAAATGAGCACAGAACAACGTAGGCACATATGCAAGAACTAGCAGGTGAACGGAGGAAGAACGCTCAAACAAAAACACTTGCGGACGTGCCATGCTAACAAAACTTCGGGCGAAACGTTCGACACGTGAACGCACGCGAATACGTATGTGCGTTTCAATGAGTTACCTATTTGTACACGTGATTTCAACACATCGGCGGGAAGAATGGAGAACCAGCAGATCATGCCTGTCGTACCTTATAAGGTAAAAACACACACAAACACATCAATGAAATTAACCCGAGGTGGAAAAAAGGCAACACAACTATTTTCGCTATGCCATAAGAAACCAACGCTGTTTAAAATATCAGCCTAACAGGTCCTTCGCTTCTCATTTCCTGTTTCGGAAGTTGGCCCCAGCGCCAAGGACTTTTATCCACTGCAGCGCGCCAAATTTACAGAAGGAATTTTCCTCCTGTGAGTTTTACCCAATCAAGAACGGTTTTACTATTGGGCCGTCAATCAAACAAGATCACGCCAGATGAAACGTGACTTGAACTATTTATTTATAAATGCAATTGAGCTGTGCATTTTGTCGGCAAACATTATCGGGAACTGCAACGCACACAAAAGATTTAGTGGGCTTTTTTTTGCTCCATTTGAGTATTTACCAAGGCCAGTTTTACCTGGCAGCCATGAGTAGGAAAAACATTACCGACTTGTTTTGACAAACTTTGACACACGCGTCAGGGACGTAAATAGTTCGCGCCAAAATGACGTCACTTGATGCGATTTTTATTCAGGGGAAACAAGTTGAGCTCCCGCTCTCTCGCTAGACTTTCTTAAACTCCTTCGCTTCTCATTTCCGGTTCCGGTAGTTGGATAGAAAATCTACCGCTCGCGCCTCGCGCCTGTGAAAAAATATGAGCTTGACTTGTAGGCAAGTCTACTCTCTTGCTCACTTTTCCTTCAGAAAAGATAAAAAATCTACCACTCGCCCTTCGCGCTCGTGAAAAAAATTTGAGCTAAATTTGAAGGCAAGTCTACCTAACAGGCAGTGTTCAAACTTGTTGGGTTCGGAGTCCAAGGAGCAAGGTTTTTGAGTTCAGTTCTAGCATACTGCAATACCCAAAAAGAGGAAATAAATCCTATAAAGCTAAAGTTAATCAGTAGTATAGATATAATTAAATTATGAGCATAAGAAGTATCAAAATCGCATTTATATCTGACCGTTAGGGGGAAAAAGTTATTCCCTTTCTCTGGGCAATTGGTGGTGTTTACCAAATACAGTTCCTAGGTGTCAAAATAAAATCTGTATTTTTGTTTTGATAAAGCGCTGCCAATTATTAACAATCCTTTAACAACTTCAAAGCAAGCGTTTGCAAACTGTTTTGATACTTAGGACCATTCCCATTCTTAGGGTTGCGACTGATTCTCCTTCTCTTTTTCATGGATTATCTTTACATAAGTGAACAAACACAACATACCTCCGGCAAGGATATACCTAAGCGGGTTTAAATTTTCACGGCTAGAAGGAACAAAAGAGACACAAACTAATAGGAATCATGCTCAGAAGTAACAACTTCACATCTCGATGATATGCAAAGATGCATTCCATCGTTTTTCGGCATGGGTGCAAGTCAGGGAAGAAAAATAATCAAGATTTACTTATTGTTTCGCCATAAAAACTGATTTGAGTTCATTTCGCGAGAATCTCAGTGGGGACTTCATATGAACAGGGAGCTTAAGCGGGGAGGTTTTTGAGCGACGCACATCAACCATACTGAGTGGACATTTTGAATTCTTCGGCAGTGGTTTCGCCCATTTTTTTCCGGCAAAGCGTCTTTATTAGAGTAAAAACACGTTGCATTGCAAACATGGCAGAGTCAAGGTATATTAAAAGAGACAAGGCTTCACTTCAGTTTGACATGTACCGCTCAGAAACGCCTGTGCTTAAGCTCGCTAATACTATGACAACGGCGGGCAACGATGATGTTTTGTTCATCTATAACAACGTGCACGGGCTTAAGCTCCCTAATACTACGACAACGGCGGGCAACGATGATGTTTTGTTCATCTATAACAACGTGCACGGTTTCAGGCTATGGGTGATTTACCCGACCCATACATCGGGAGTATCTTTAAGTCCTACATTGCAGGGCAGCTTTGGTTCTTTCTGGCCAGATAGAGACCAGGGAACGGTTCGACCGGCTTCAAAAGGCGTTTACGGTAAAATTTCCAGGGGATGTGAGGTGATTTTGCTAAGAATCCATTCATAGCTGAAGAAATAGCAACCCATTCCAGGAATATCTGCAACGGACATTCACAAAATGTGTTCAAGTAACTAAAAAAGGCAAAAAAAGAACGAGGCCAATATCCAGCCATTTTGACAGAAAAAGCTTGCTCAATAAACGTTTTATTATATGGCCAAAAGGAAAACGTATTCTAGAGGGATCAACGCGGGAAATCCCAAGAGGGCATAGGCTCATCGTTCCCGCTCATGTAGCCAATCAGAAAGCAGGCTTCGCTTCATCTTAACCGCTCGTGGATTCAGCGATATAATAAGTATGTGTGATCAAATGGTGACGAGTGAAATTATTCCCTAATTTCACGCGTATGACGAATTACGTTAGCAATCTTGGATTTTTGACATGTTTATACTGGATTGTGTCGATCGAGAACTCCACTCTCTCGAACGTTTAGAGACGTTTAGCTGGCCGCACGTGTTCGTCCTATCCCGTTCTATCCCATCCCTAGCCAGTATTTTGGTATGCATACCTTCCACCACTGGGCAAAAAGGCACATATTCGCGACCGACTTTGCGCGAATACGGATAGGTACACGTGGAGTATATGATAATATCCTGAAGTATTCAAGGACGCATGACGCGACGTACACCTAGAATATTCTACTTAGAATCCGGACTGTTTTTCCGAATTCAAATAGAATACCCTGGAATACTAAGAAGCATTCTAGACGGCATACTCCCGACTCCTTTTCTAAAACGATCAATTTTGACCAGTTTCGAACAATGAAGATCATTTGTCATTGGAACATCTTAGCATGACCACAAATTTTCGAGTCCGCATACGACGCGAACACGACAGTGACGAACGGTATACCCGACGCGAACACGCCCGAATACTAACGCACATCTCAAGTGTTCGCGCTTTTGCGAACGCGCACTAAAGGCCATGACTTTGCGGAACTTGGTATTCTGCAGTATTCAAAGTAGAACAACTACGAACACTCTTCGTGTCCAAGAATATACGATCGCGAGTAGCAATGCTTATATCTGGTTTCTGAAATTCAGTGTGCATATTCTTGAACACGAGCGTGTTTTATGTTTTATTGAATGTTTACGCTTTTGGGTCGTTTGATGGTTTGGTCTTATAGGATTCCCCTCTCACATGGGGTCTATACTTAGATCTATCTAAGCGGATTACAGAAGTCTCCTTTTTGACAAGCCTCCATCGCAGTCGTTCTTAGGGCTTCGCAACGCTCTCCTTAGGGAAGGGACACGTGAGGAAGCCCTAAGAACGTCTTTGTGGACTACTTTTTTTCTCACACAGTTCAATGACATTGTAATTATCAGCCAACAAAACTTTATTTAATAAAAAACATTTTAGTTATTTATACAGTATTTACAATACTTGTAAGTTGAAAACGTTGCTTTCTCATTCGGGGATTCCATCAACTAAACGGTTTGTTATTACTACCAAGAACTCTCTTTTTAACTATTTGTAAAAAATGCTATTTAAAATTTTGTCCTGGATTTTCATTTGCCACTGATTAAAAGTCTCCTCTTGGATAATTGCAAAAAGAGATGACATTGTCTCTTTAAACCTTAAAAGAAACAAAATTTCTTAAAAACAATCCAAGAAAGCTCCAGTACCGAATGGTAATCATTGCCTCGCAAATCATCTTTAGTTTACAAATGCATGCACTTACTTAGGATAAATTAATTTTAAACCTTTTCATTCCAACATAAAAAAAAATCTATGTTCTTTCAATGTTTTTATAGTAATGATATTGCTATTCATATGTGAGCAATACTGCTGCAGTAGAAAAAATTCATTCAAAAATTCTATTAAAAAATTTGGGATGCTTTAATAAAGGAACAAAATTTCTTAAAAACAATCCAAGAAAGCTCCAGTACTGAATGGTAATCATTGCCTAGCAAATCATATTTAGTTTATAAATACATGCACTTACTTAGGATAAACCTTTTCATTCCAACATAAAAAAAATCTATGTTATTTCAATATAGTAATGATATTGCTATTCATATGTGAGCAATACTGAGTTCTGCAGTAGAAAAAATTCATTCAAAAATTCTATGAAAAAATTTGGGATGAAACCCTAACGTTGAAAGAAAAAAGAGAAAGAAAAATTTCTCACGAGGAATACTATTCACAGTATGTTAAGGAATAAACTGATTTAAAAAAATAGCCCAATGAGTTAATCAGTTTCGGAGTCATCATTTAAAGAATGGAATCTTTTTCTTCTCCTCCTGGGTGGTGATGCTGCAGGAGTTTCTATCAGCACCTCCTCTGGCTCTGAGTTGGGTTCAGCAAAACCTCTTGCTGCCTCTTCCCCTAAGGCCCAAGGTATATGAACCTCGGGCCTAGGCCTTTCTGAGAGAGGTCCCTCAACTCTTGGCACACGTGGCCGCACTTCTTCTTCTCTCGTCTGATCTATTCGTCCTTGGCCCTTGGGGACCTCCATCTTGGTGACCTCATGATCCAATTTCCTTCTGGTCCATCTTCCTCGTCACTCACAAAGTTATAGTTGAGCTCTTGCATCAACTCCTTCTCTTGGCCCCTCGCCACTTTAACTCGTGCACTGAAAAGCAAACATTAAAATCAGGCTACATATATGCCATGTACTAGGAGTTGGTATTATCCAAAAGTCTTAATTCCAGTAATAATTGCAGAAAAAAATGTCTAAAATGAATTTATTAGGGTGAAATATTTTGCTGAGTGAGTAAGTGAGTAACTTTCTCAAATTGTCAGTTCTTTCTAGTGTTACACACTACTTGGAGACACTATATAATAATATATATGTATAGACTCAATTGCATAATAAGCTATTGCCTGGTGACATAAAACTATTTAAAAATATATAAATCAAAAAAACAATCCCGGTTACATTAAAAAATATGACATAAAAAACTATTGCCCAATGACATTTAACATAAAATGCTAAAAAATTCTTATAAATTACATAATAATAAAAGGTGGTAAAAATATATACTGAAACCTACACTAGTTTTGAGAAAGGAAACAATATTGTCATAGCTACTGTTCTGCCCAACTAGGTTGCAACTGAAACAGCAACTTACAGCTGTTATTACAGTTTAGTCTGCAATTAAATATACTTTTGTCTAATGGAGATGCAATAGAGGCTTATGGGTGATCCACTTGGTCATTTTAAAGTCAAAACTACTATTAACTGTAATTTGTCACTGTACAGAACTATTATTGATTGATGCTTTTTACACACAAAGTGGCAGAAAAAAGAAAAGAATTTCAAGTCAACATACCCTTTTCCTTCTTGAACGAACGATTTGAGCGATTTGCATGGAGGCTCACCACAGGGTTTGCCTTCATCAAAATGGCGCGTCTCAAAGCTATCATAGCGATTATTTTGCTCGTTGGTCTTGGCGAATGTGCTCGTGATTTAACAAAATGTGTAGTTTGCAAAAATACTCTAACATGGTCTTAACAAAAGCGAAGTAGACCGGCTTTAACATACACGAGCTACTGACCTGGACAACAGCGCGCGTATCTGTACGTAGTGCCTGGAGGATTGCGCTGACCTCATCAAAGTCTAAACAAAGTGCAGAAACGTTTGTTGACGCAAGTAAACACTTTCAATTTTCTTTGTTTCGAAATGGGAAAGGAAGAGAAATATTAAAAAAAAAACATAGCAAATTTCAGCGAGTGGGTTCGAAGTGCGCGAAAGCCGATGTTCAGTTCAGCAGTGAATTAATATATGTTCTACAATTTTCCCAGCACTTTAAAGCTACAAAATTAAGAGCACACGAGAAGAAGATTAGTCACCTGGTGAGATGTTGGTGGTAGTCACTCTGTATGTCTCGAACAATAAAAAAAATGAATATCAATGAGACACAGTCAAAACTGCATTCAATGGGACCGAAATTAAAGTCCAATCTTGTGCTCGATTTTGATGAAACAAACGGTTAGGTTTCCCAAGAAGTACAGTAAACATGTGATGCCGACCAAAAGTTAAAAATCATTAGAACATTTAAGTTCTGGCCTAAAGCAAATTCCTGTAAAAGATGCATTACAATGTTAGTCCACGGAAAAACAAGAAGTTCTACAATTTTCCTATAAACAAACTTTGTACCGCTAAAATACTTAAGGCACAAACTTTCTATTCCAACTGAAAACGGCGTGGTAGTCGCCCGCTGATCGTTATTAATCCTCTCCCGAAATATGGCTAAATCAGCTATCTACAAATTATTGACAGAAATCCTCTACGGCATCGAGAAACTGATTTACATCCGATTTATAGACAAACAATAAATAAAGAACATTTTGCTCAATAGCTACGCATCAGCAATGCATTCTATGCCAAACTTTGCGGTTCTTAAAGGGGAATCAAGACACAAGTCGAGCGCCGAACAACAACAAGCAGCCATGTTCGTGTCAGACATCCTTGAGAAACTTGCTCTTTGACCTCGTTCAGCACATCAGTCTCCACTTTAAATCAACAGATCTTTACTTATTTTGTACAACGAAGGTCTTTCCTAAGTTCCTGCTACCATTTCAATCTCAAGCAAGCTTTCAAAGTGAACAATTTGGTTCCTATGACTATGCAGCACGGTCGCTGTCACTGATCGCGTGCTCTTTGACAAATCAGCGGTCGCGCATGCTCATGCAAAAAAGACCCCTTTTATCAGTACCCTCGAGAGTTTAGGAGCAAATCCACAGAAAAATCGAGCAAAATCGGCAAATCGTGGCCACAGCTCAAAACCTAACTTACCCTCATTTTCAGTCTGTAATAAGGTTTTAATGAGCTTATAACACTGCTGAGGTTTAAATTTCAAAATGCGGCCGAGTTTGGGAATTATATGAGATTTTCGATTTCAACGGCCTGCGGGCCTAAAATCCGCCGCCGAACTCGGGAAAATAGCCGAGTGACAGAATTGAGCTGACTTTCATAAACGAGCGAATATATTGGCAATCTTCCACTTAAATCTCAAAAAACAGATATCTAACAATTTCTAAACAGCACATTCTTTTAGATGTAGAGAATAAAATATCGCCAACGAGCACAATTTTGAAACGTAATTTG